ATCGAAATAAGGAAAGGTCCTGTGGTTGAATATAACCGGTCGATCCTACAGGAAAAATCAATAATTGACTGTCTAGATGAGGAAATACTGCTCTAAATTTTGTTAGATCAGCTTGAGTTTTCCAAGCATCAAGGGAAAGAAGAAATTTTTTATCAACAAATGGACGTAGAACTTCATTTAAAAAGACATGATGATTTTTGTCATTGCTTTTTCCTGATTTTGAAGCTCTTACTACAACATTTGGTGGTATTATTAAATTTTTTTGTACTCTTTTACCTAGTGTGTTTTCTTTTTCTTGAAGTATAAGTAAAAATTTGTCTAATAAAAGACCGTTAGCTGATGTTACCGGTTGAATTGTATAAGAATGTGTGATATTATATTTCTTTTTAACAACTACTTCAGTTGTTCTTTCACCAGTAAAAGAAAGAGTTCTTGGTGGAATATATTCTTGTTGAAATGAACAGTGATCGCTATTTAAAATTTGATGAGAAGGATACTTTGCTATTAAAGTTCTTTTACTGTCAATCCAATTGTGAGCATCTAAAAAATATACGTATATTACATTAAGATATGTGAATTTAAAGACCTAATAAGTTTATGTACCATTTAAACTACAATTTTTTCTATTTGTCTTAGTTCGAGTAATAATTTTGTTGTATCTTCTTGATGATATTCTGTTTTCCTTTTTAAACATGTTGATAAATGATTTGCTTGCCTCGAAAGTATCCAAATTTAATTCTCTTGCTTTTTGAATAGCATATAATTCTAGGTCAGCATCATGAGCGGATTCTTTTTCAATTGCTCTTTTTAGATAAAATTCATTAAACATAAACTCTTTAATTTGCTTTAATTTTTCTAATCTTGTGCCGTTGTTCTCGATATACTGTCGAAACCTTGTAATATAATACATGTATTTGACCTTTTTAAATCTATGTGAAATGGTTGCAAGTCTAGCATTCGGATGTTCGTCAACCCATTCGACTATACGTTGCATTTCTTCTAATGTAAAATGATCATTTATATCAGAATGTTCGTTTTCATTGTAATCATTAATGTCATCATTACTCGATTCTTCGTCAGTCATTTCATCATATTCATCGTCGAAATCGAGAGTGTCATACGCATACAGTTCAGTGAAGTAGCTGACATTTATAGATTTTAAAACTTCGAATAACCGTTCTGCAGCAAAAATTTCATCCGTTGTTGTTGGAGAATTTTCTGAATCATATTCATTTTCAGTCAAGTGAAGAATATGTTTAACAATATTCAATAAATTCATATTTTAATATTGTGAAATAAACCTTGTTATATATTAGATATAGCAGTAAACAAAACAAGAATAATTATTAGGTAATGATTATATTTCTTTGTGATATCTTAACACCAATCGAACAGAGATTATCAGTTTAAATGCCAAGTGATGCATTAATGCACTTTAAATTCAAATATTAAATATACAGGTCATGCTTCAGACATATCATTTTTTTTCTTTTATCTCGATAATGCCTCGACTTTAGACGATACTGAAATTAATGTGATCTTAATGCAATTGATAAATTTCAGAAACATTCTTATAGCTTACTATTAAAATACTCATTTGATTACACAAAACTAATATAAATAATTATACTGTTTCTATTATATGCTCAGATTGCTAGAATCGTAAAAATCGATTATCTCCCTGTAGACAAACCAAGGGCCGCTAATATTTTAACCCTGTTAGTTTGGCACTGAGAGCTTTCATTTGATGCTAATAAATCCTGGTTTTTCGCTTATTACTTGAAACACCTCCATTGCTAGAATAAAAATGTAAAATTAAAGCAAAAAGCCGTGTTAAAAATGACAAATACTGAGCGAATAACAACAAAGAAGACGAAAAATAAGGACGCCTGTCAGAAAATTAAAAATTCATGATTTTATACTATCTATATTGCATATTGGTATAATGAAGCTGGCGTATATACGTGAGTTCCACATTTCAGCCCCAAAGGAGCTGCGCTAACAAGCTTTTTTTAATATCTATTTGGGTATTAGTGATATATAATACATAATAAAAATCTTTTACTATTTCTTAACTGTCGAATAGAACTTGAGACTAGACATGTTAGCCGATCTTTTAATCGGCGGCGGCGGACAAATCACGCCGAGGAAGGCATCTTCGGCGGCGGCGGTGAAATTTTTCGAAAGTCATTTTACCAAGTCTTTTGTTGATTCCAACCTTTGTTACAAACATTACACTTTCTGTTTTCATAGAAACATATCGTTATCTCCCTTTTCGCACATGGGCTTCATAGAAAGATGTAAAAGCATGTTTCCAGTCCTCACGTTTTCGGTGTAACGAATAAGTTGTTTCTGTATTAATGATGATGACAAGAGGACATCAGGATGCTCGACAAGTTGTTTGTCATAGCAAACCTTGCAATAAATATTCTTGTTATCAATCACTTCTTTCGTAACTGAAGATGTAAGATGACCGAAATGTGACCACGCAAGAGATTGATTGGCCTTGAAAGGACGAAGCTTGACGTGAACATCTCGAACATAATGCATCATTCTAGTGGATAAGTATGTATTTATTCGCTTATCAGATACAATACAATGATAGCAATAATGTTATTAGTGTGAATGGAAGTGTAATGCGAAGCGTCTATCTATACGCTTTTGACCATATTGTTCTAACTCCATACTTGATTGGCGGCGGCGGCGAAAAATCGGCGGCTAACATGTCTACTTGAGACTGATCAATTAGCATCTTTAATTGGAAATATTTTAGCATACTTTATTATAACACAAAGAAATTATGTTTTCCTCTGTCGACTAACAGTTAGAAATGTGATTATTGACTGGTCATGATGAATTGTTTTCACATTGAAATCCTCGATGTGACATTAAAATTATTTTTTTTGTATCAGCAATCAATAAACTATTCAATGAATAGAATTGCTGCAAAAGAAAATATGACAAAGTATTCGTACATAAAAGAGTTTTCAAAATATTAATGAATTTTAGGCTCAGGGCAAAGTGCTCTATAGAATAAAGATATTCTTTGTGTTGAATTCGCGATGAAATTCTTCATGGAATCATCAAATTTATCGCGTTGATCTCCTTTTGCACCTATGATTCCATAGTGATAATGCCGAAATTGGCCTAAGTTCGACAGTCCATTATTAGGCGAAAATATGATTCCACTTTCAAGAGCATGAATATTTTGCATGAAAGGAACATTTCGAGGTCGAATAAATAATTTTCTTCGTGTATAACAGTCTCGAGGCTCTACAATTGAATTACATTTTTGAAAAATGTTCAAATGACGACTTGAAAGTATTTCGTTTTCTGATAGAAAACATGATATTGGACAATTATAAAACTGTACTCCTCCAGGAAATTTTGTCTCAGGAAATGATTGTTCAAGTAATTCAACGAGTGATGTTTTTCCTGATAAAATAAGTTTTTCATTTGTATTGTTTAACTGAAAATATTCATCAGTATCAAAATAACCCATCCATTTATTGAATGGACCAAAGTTTTTCAAAACATGATTCATCGAAGCGGATTGAATCATGTTCCAATGTTCATTTTGAATGGGTTTAAAAGGCCATTTGATAATCGTAACAATATTTTGATCTAGATAGTATTTAAGAAATATATGGATATCATCTTCACTCAAATTATCATACAAATAAAAATGTCCAATGCCAATCATTCGATGATATTCAATCCAATCGATTATTTCATTTCGTTTATTACGGATCATAGTATAGATTGATATTGCATATTCTGTTCTATGATAAACACGAACTTGTTTAGGTGTACTACTGACAAATGTTTCATTTATTTTGTTTTCATATTTTATCATGAGAGAAATATTGAAATGATGTCGACCATTCTGTATTGCTAATAATTCGATCTCTGGTAATAAACATGTTAATAATGGTTCACTAGTTGGATAATTGATTATTCCGACGGTCGTTATATTAGACCAGGGAAAGTAGCACATAAACTGTGTCCATGTAATATGTTTTCTACAAGCACTTATATATAATGTAATCGACTCAGTACGAAACGGATCCCCATTTAGTACTATATCCAAAATTCGAAAGTGTAATATTTCTAATGTATTGGTCTCTATCAAAGATAAATTTCGAACCATGTGCGACGGTTTGATGATTTGCAGTTTTGATGTTGATCGAAATAAAAACATATATACCGAAAGACTGACACACGATAATATCACCAATAAAATGAGAGAATGATGACGAGGAGAATTGTCCATAAATTTCTTCACCATCATTATTCTAATTGACAGACTTTACTGTAATGATTTTTCGTTAGTGTAGATCGAATGTATACTTTATTATATCTACTTTATTAGGACTCAGCACACACATAGTCGCACACCAGTTTCCTTTTTATACGCGGAGATGAATACAAACAGAACACTACAGAAGAGAAGGATAATGAGTTAAGGACAGAAAGAGAAGGATGACGAATTGAGAGAGAAAAAATGCAGTGAGGAGAGAAACAGAAGGTCAGATGACAATGCAAGGAGCGACAAAGAAAGGATCATACATATAGTGCCAAGGTATATGGTTGTGGACAGGAGCGGCGGAACGTTTCTAAATCTGGTGAGGCTGAGTAAAAATTATTTTATTATCCTAAGTAACTTTTTTCTTTTCTCAATGTCTTCGTTGATGAAAGCATTTATACGTCTTTATGGGGCATTGCACCTAAGCCACGACCACCTTTGCTCAATCAATCTCAATGGTTTGATTCATATTTCTACAGTAGATATAGACATCTGTGTTAGAAATAAGCTGAAAGTTTCAGCTTTAACAGATGAGCCATTCAGGAGATATAGATGCTGCAAGTCTGACAGGGTATGCCTAAAGAATGAGAGCGGATAAGGCCGTTTTGCGGCACCCCATCAGAAATCATATGTTTCTATTACGCTTTAATAAGTGTACAATCCTGATCAGATTTTTCCACTTTATTCCCGGAAAAATGACATTCATGGTTTTTATCACGGTGGTCCCCCTCCCAGGTATCATGAAACAAAAATTTCGTTTTTCTCGAGTCAAAATCAAACGGAACTATAGATTCAAGGATGCTGATTAGGAAAATCAAAATAAAAACACTGTAACATGTTTTTCTACTTCAATGGCCCTGACCACTCCAGATACCCTATTTTTGACTATTTGCAGCCCTATTCAAAAGTCATTCTTAGAAATTTCAAGAAAAAGCTTGTCAGCGCAGCTCCTTTGGTGCTGAAATGTGGAACTCACGTATATCCTTTCAATTTGTTATTCTACTGCATTATTTGTAAACTAAAACATACTATTTTTTCAAATAATTATGAATGCATTAGAATACTGTATAGAATCTGAAGCCTTTTGTGCTGTATTGTTCTCTTTTTCCGTTGTTATGTGTCTGTAATGGGGTGGGGGAGGAGGGGGGAGCCGCCAACCTCGAACTTAAAACTTACACTCACTATTTTCTTCGAAAACATACGTGAGTTCCACAAAATATTTTCCTCCACTTGAAATTTACAGCATTTCACGAATCTGAACTTTTTAGGACGCAAAAATGTGACCCTTAAAAAATAGATGGGGATTCTGCGGCAGAAATTCGCTATTTGGTGTATACATCGATTTTTGTCCTCACGATATTTCATGAAGCGGGCCTTGCCGCAATCTCATTTAGGCTTTCTAACAGTGCAATATTTTTCAGTAAGGTTTCATTTTCTAAACAACGATTAGAGTTACCAAAACGACTTTTTTTTTTATCAAAGATGCTATCGATGATGAGCTATCTTTTTGTGTCAACGAAAGTTTCTTATCATCTGATATTTTTGGTCGGGTGCCACGTACCATGTCCAGAATGGCTGACTTCGGATACCGGGCAAGTTAGTCGAATCAGTGACATAGAATGTTTTGAAGCTGGTTTCACTTGGAAAAGCATATCCAAATATATCGAATAGGGTTCTTAAAAATTTGGTTATTTTTAATTCGGTAGCAAAAAATTCCTAAACACGACCAAAAATTCCATGTCATTTTAAGTACGACAAAATAAAATTTCTCATGTAATGTTAGATTGTTATATTTAGAATGAAAGCCGACGATGAGAAATCTGTAAATTTAAAATTTGAGCTTGTTTGGACCTGCCAGTGAAAAATGGCAGAAGATTCATTTTTCTATATTTTATTGAAGCACAGTCAATCCAATAAATTTGCCCACATACTTTTCTAGAGAATCTTTTCCTATGAAAAACCTCTGTCGAATACCTACTATAAGCCTTAGATGGCCGCTAATGAATGTTTGAAACTGTTAAGAAGGTTTTAAATATTAATTTATTTTTATCAAAATATGGCGATTTTTTCGAATTTCTTCTAGGCCATTGTTATGCCCCCACCTCTGGAACATCGAAAAAATCGATTTTTGATTTTTGATCTGATACATTGCACGAATAAAGACCATAACAAAAAACGTTTATGGGATAAATATCAAATCACAGGATAGCTTCTTTACAGAAATATGAACATGTGAAAAATTGCACATATTAAAATCTTCAAAAAAGATATAAAAAGTCAAATCGTCTGTCATTTTTCACTGGCAGGTCAGAACAAGCTGAAATTTTGAATTTAGAGGTTTCTTACCATATGCTTTCATTTGAAATACAACAATTTAATATTTGACGAAAAATTCCATATTGTCGTAGTTAGAGTGGTGTGGCATTTTCGCTGCCTTTGATCTTTTTAAAAACTTTTTGCTACCGAAGTAAAAATAAACAAATTTTTAAGAACACCATTCCATGTATTTTGATGTGCTATTTCAAGTGAAACTAGTTTCAAAACATTCTATGACACTGACTCGACTAACCTGTCCTTTATGCGTGGGCATGCTTTTTAAACATGATATAGAACGTGACTCGCACTTTATCTTAGGATGAAGTATTTTCATTACTATTAAAAGATAGCCCGTGGTCGATAGTATCTCTGATGAAAAAATCTCAGCGGTAACTTTTACGGTTCGTGAGAAAACGAAACATGCTGAAAAATCTTGCAATAAAAAAAATCTCTAATTTTGACTTAGTACTAGGGGTGGTACTTTACTTTTACTTTACAAAATAAAGGTAAATGAATCCTTTACTCTTAAAAAATAAAGGTAAATGGATGCTTTATTTTTAAAAAATAAAGTTAATTAAATACAAGTAACGTTCATTGTCAAGCGATTCACTTAGCCCTAGACTGATAGAATACATGTACGGATGTAATAACATAAAAAGCTACATTAAAAAAGTAATACGCAAAATTGATAGTATGACCAGTATATCTTAGGCGAGCAGAAAACTTAATTTGGAGAATTCTCACTCTAAGTAAAGATAATGCATTTTACAAATTTTATTTTTTTTGTCGTTTTTGTTTTATTTTTTTTTGCTTTTATAAATATAAATAGCGCCCAATAAGATTAGACAAGAATACGATTTTTTTTGTAATTATATTGGCGCTATTTGTACGTACAAAAATATGAATTATATTATTCATAAAATTTGAGTTTTATTAATCAATACTTTATGCTTAAATTCGCGCATTAATTCTAAACTATTAATATATTAGATATTCATTGATACAACATTGCACAATCAATCCTACAATAATGAATAATTTAAACGATTTCTTTAAATCCATACTGCTCATTTGGTCTGATTCTCACTAATTAAATGCTTTTGTAAGCCGTTTTACACCACTACCCGAATTATAGTTATTTCATTGACATTTTACCGATGATTATTATGGGTTCATTTACATCAGTCTTTAGATGGTCATTTGTGCCATAGTTATCGGAATAGTTGTTTGTACCATGGTTGCTATATGGTCACCTGTGCCATAGTTACGTGCTCATTTTTACCATAGTTACCTAGTTAATTTTAGTAAAAAAATGGCCGTTTGTGCCAAAAAAGTGGTCACTTGTGCCAAAAAAAAATGGCCATTTGTGACAAAAAAATGGTCACATGTGCCAAAAAAATGGCCACTTTGACCGCGTTACCGACAGACAGACAGACACAGATGAATTTCGGTTTCTAGACCCTAGCCTTTCAGTCTAGGGAAAAGGAATACTCTATTTTTAAAAAATAAATGTAAATGAATCATTTATTTTTAAAAAATAAAAGAAAAATAAAGGAATGAATGATACTTTTTACGACGACAGATAATGTAATTAGAAAAGCATTGCAATCATGGAATAAGTTTGCAGAGAGATTACTACGGTTTAAAACTGTAATTTGATTTAAAATACACTTCCTAAGATGAAATTCAAAAAGAACAGAAATGACAGCTTTATTTCTGATTTTCTAGGGTAGTAAGAAAGAGGAAAATCTTTTTCTAATATTCTAATGTGATCAAAAGCTTTCTACGTATTCGAGCATCTCTGTAAAGCTTTATTGCAGAATCATAGAATGTCTCCATTGG